GAAAAGGTTGTTGCGGAGTGGGTGTGTAGATATGGAGCCCCACAGTCTCTGCATAGTGACCAGGGCACCAACTTTGAGTCAGCTGTGTTCCAGGGGATGTGCGAACTGTTCGGAATCGAAAAGACGCGCACCACGCCGTTTCATCCACAGTCCGATGGCCAGGTGGAGCGTTTTAATGCTACCCTTCAGAAGGCCTTAGCCACCACCGCGGAGCGCTGCCACTGGGACTGGGATATAATGATCCCATATGCTGTTATGGCTTATCGGGCAACTAAACACAGCTCCACAGGACTGACCCCAAACATGATGCTTCTGGGGCGAGAGATAACCGAGCCTATTGACCTGGTCGCGGGTCTGCCAGCCGACGACACCCCCAACTGCACTGCACCACAGTATGTGGTGCAACTCAGGGAAAGGCTGGAGCTCTCCCATCAACTGGCACGGGAGGCTCTTGGGAAATCTGTTGAGCGTGCTAAGAAACAGTACGATAAGAATGTCTGCCAAGTTCAGTATCAAGTCGGCGCTGCAGTGTGGCATCTGATCAAAGGGACCAAGAGAGTGCGGCATAAGGTTCGCAAGTTTTTGCCTTCCTATGAGGGCCCCTACTTCGTAGTGGGCCTGCTGGATGATTTGGTCTACTGCATTAAAAAGGGGCCCCGAGCAAAGGCTAAAGTGGTTCATCACGACAGACTCAAGCCTTATCACTCAAGAACGCCGCTGGACAACAGCTGGGTCTTCCAAGACTCCGACCAGGCAGCACCTATCGAGGTGCCTCCTCCAGCGCTCGACGAAAGCGATTCTGACATGGATTTTGGTCTCCTCGACTTGTGGGAGGCCCCATCTGGGGCAGATCAACCAGATACTGGTGCTTCCCTGAGAACTGGCTCTCCGCCACCCGCTCTAGAAGACGGTAGCGGGTTGCCAGCCAGCCCTGCTCAGCCTTACGTGGATGAGGCTGAAGGACCAGGACATCGCCCTTCCTTCAGGTCCACACCCTGTTCCAGACCACAGCGTGTGCGGCGGGCGCCGGACATGTTTGGTGACTGGGTCAGTCACTAGGCTAGTATGTCCAAACTGAGTCGGCGTGTAGGCGGATCGCTGCCCTGCTCAGTCGTTTGAGGAAAAGGAAAAAAAAAATGTAAAAAAAAAAAAAAAAAATTGTTCATGTTGCATATGCTAAGTGATATGACTGTTGTAGATTGAGTTGTTACAGGGGGCTATTCTTACGTGTACTGTTGGGCTTGTTTGTCTTGCTGTTTGCTGGTAATGTGGCTATCGACGGGCTGCGAGTTATTGTTTGAACTGTTTAATGAAGCAAAGCTGGATATAGGGGCAAATGGTGTAAGACAGGGGCAAACATTCAGCTGTAGTGCCTTAATGTCGTAGCGCATCTTGAATAATATGGGCATCACCTCTGAACGCTCATGGGATTGATGTAAATGCTGTTGTGTGTTTTTTTTTCTTTCTTTGTGAATACTGTATATGTGAGGGACGGGATATGGACATTGACTTGCACCCTCCTCAAAGTGGACCTTGTACATTCTATGTTTTTTTTTGTGTGCAAGATATGGACAGTTGTCTACTTCAAGATTGTTCCCTCCTAAGGTTCGCCATTTATGGACTGGGGGCATGACTGCTGTCCCGCATAGAATGCTGTATGTTTCCTTGTTAATGGGGGGTTCATGTGCTGGAATGATATTAAGGGTTTAATTATCATCCAGAGTGGGGGTAGTGTTACAGGCATGGCCCTTTAAGGGTGAAGCCTGATGGGAAATGTATTTTGGAATGTGTGTAGCGGGACTGTCGTGTGTGGGTGTGGAGAGAGAGCGGAGAAGAAGAAAAGTAACGGTGAAGCAGTTTCCTACGCCTCCTTCGATCTTTTTGCTAACGGAGTTGACCTGTATATTAAGCTGTTGCCGGCTACGAGTCAGTTACGGAACTTTCAAGTAACTGCCAGAGGTTTCCTTACTACGGTTCGGGACCGCGGATCTGGCGCGGTAACATAATAAAGGTTTTTGAGTAATCGCTGGTAAAATATTTTATATTATATATATTTATTTATATATTTATTTTTACCTGCTGACTGCAAAACAGCCACTGCACTTCCTGCTGCCACTCCTCCTCCATTGGCTATAGCAGCTGCAGACATCCAGCTTGCAGCGTAGGAGCCTGCTGCTATACCAACTGAGGTGAAACCTACAGCCCCCAGGACAATAGGAGCAGACACCACTGCTCCACCTGACAACAGGAAGAAACACCTGGTTACTGATCATCAGGATGTTTTAAAATGAATACATGTATGATATGTGTGACTTCACCTTTGAGTTTTAGAGATAAAAATAAATAAATAAACAAACAGATTTGTTACCTGCCCCTGCTGCGTTGGCTGCGGCTGTCACTGAAACACACAAACAAACATCTTACCACAGCTCAGCTGGATATATTAAATCATTTCCTATGATGCTAGAATCATGAGTTTATATGAGGTAGAGATGATGATGTCAAAAAGGCAGCTGTACTCACATAGAGCCATTGTTCCACTCAGGATGAGGAGCCTAAGACTGGACTGTGTCTTATGTAGGAGTGAAATAAACTGAATGGACATCACTGGGTCAGTGAAGTAAATAACATTCCTTTAGTCATCATAGAACAAGTGATTGTGAGGCTGGATGTCAGGGGGTTTGACATATCTGGTTATTTTATGTTTTTTGTTGTTGTTATGGATTTCACACACATGGGTTATTTCACAGAGTTTTCTTTTGGTTTTAATCCTTATGTTGGATCACTTGCTTAAAATGAAAACAAACAAAAACAAGCTTATTACACGGAGCATATATGTACATTACTTGTGTCACTGAAAATGTGTCTGTATTATGTGTGGGAGCTAAAATGATCACTGGCAGATCTGTAATGACGGCAGATATACTGCACTTCTTTAAACCTCTGACCTTCCTCAGAGAAAATTAGATGTAAAAATACATAAATAAACAAAGAGGTTTGTTACCTGCCCCTGCTGCGATCGCTAAGCCTGTCACTGAAACATAAGAAAGAAAGGAAAAAAAACATCTTACCAAAGCTCAGCCTGAAATATTTAGACATTTTCTGTGATGCTACAATAATAAGCTTATATGATGTAGAGATGATTTGAAAAAGGCAGCTGTACTCACACAGACCCATTATTTCACACAGGATCAGGAGCCTAAGACTGGACTGTGTTGGACAACTGGACTTATATAGGAGTGTGAGGATCAGCTGTTTTCCCAGAAAATGAAACTCTTAGAATGGGCGTCACTGGGTCTGGAAGTAAATAAACTTTCTTTAGTCATCATGGAACAAGTGATTGTGAGGTTGGATCTCAGGGGGTTTGACATATTTATTTATTTAATGCCATCTTTATTATGGATTTTACACACGGATTATTTCAAGGGTTTTTCTTTCTGTTTTAATCCTTATGTTAAATCGCTTAAAGTGAAAACAAACAAGAACAAGCTTATCACAGGGAGGGTATATAAACGTTACTTAGGTCACTGAAAATGTTTCTGTATTATGTGTGGGAGCAAAAAAGATCACTGGCAGATCTGTAAGGACGGCAGATATACTGCACTTCTTTAAACCTCTGACCTTCCTCAGAGAAAATAAATTACACATTTTAATTAATTAGAGGCCAAAAAAGTTCTTCCTCCTGTCTGCAGGTGGAGACAGACACCAACATGCATCCAAGCACATTTTTGAAAGTGCTGGATTTTTAATTTCAAATGCAGCATTTTATATCTGTCAAACTTATAATTAGTGTCCTAGTTACTGTTTTCTCAACAGCAATTTAACTTTTTTTCAGTCACTACAGTGACAGTTCATGGAACCAGAACATAAACGTCTTTATTGCCTTACAAGAAATGTCTTAGGTGACCTGATTTAAAAAAGCAGTTTGGTTGTTGTGTATTTATTTTGTTGCACAAAAGTTTCAGTTCATAAGAAATGGTTCTTGTAGTTGTTCAAAGATTGTCACACCACAGCAATGACGACAGCATTAAACCTCGCCCATACTGCAAACATACCCATGACATACCGGCATAGGTTACATTCAGGTATGTGATGATTGAAGGAACAGGACTTTGTCTTTCCCTTTTCAAAACAAGTTGTGGGTATTTATTTTCTCATGGTAGCAAAGCTCAGCATTCCTCATGACATTAATGTGACTCAACACAGTTTAAGTTTAAAAAATGTCAACCTTAATATAAATGATGGTTTATAGGCTGTAGCTCTGCCTCATGGTGCTCTAACATCCTCATCTACAGACTTATAAACAAAAGGGTGTAAAAGTTGTGTTGGAACACATTTTGTATGTTGCCCAAGGATATTTGGGTTATGCTGATGCAACACTGCAGGTAAGGTGAAAAAAAAGAGTCTGGTATTATTGTACTCAGGGTTACTAAAGGTCATTGAAATTCTGCAGATCACAGCTTTGTAGGGAGGGACGCTACAGTACTGCACTTGGGGAAACTCGAGTTATGGCACGTTAAACAACATTTGGTATGAAACAGGTATGATGCACATATTAACCAAATTTATTTTAGGCTGCACAAAAGAGTCACTACCTGTAAATGTATATATATATATGTATTAGAGATGGCACGATACCACTTTTTATGTCCGATACCGATACCGATATAATTTTGGATATCGGCCGATACCGATATGAATCCGATATAGTGTGTTTTTTAATCAATTAAACTGTTTTTTTTTAAATATCTTGCTGCATTTTGTATAAGTTCATACTCAAGTTTAAAAGAAAACAAAACACTAAAGCTATTCTGTTATACCTGTATGTAAAAAATACACTGCACCCAAAATATTTCATAGTTCAGCAATACTGATCAATCTAATAAACTTAAACCTACTCCATCCTCCCTATTCTGGTATTTTAAAGAGTAAGCAACCTAACTAATAGGGTTGCAAACGCCCAGCAAAAAAATAAAAAATAAAACAAGAAACAAGAACTATAAATGACAAACTCTGAGGAACTAGAAAAGAACACACTCAGGAACAAGAAGATACATGATATTATACTTTAAAAGAACAAATAACAAAACCAGAACCACAAGTCAAAACTTCATCTTCTGCTTATCCTTTTCAGGGTCACGGGGGTGGGGCTTGAGCCAACTCCCCCTGTTTTAGGGCAAGAGGCAGGGTACTGTCTGTCTCAGGGATCACTAACTCATAGACACAATCTTCATAGTCAGATTCACACATATGGGCAATTCAGACTTTCCAACTGACCTAGCCCCACTAACTGCATGTGTTTGGACTGTGCAGTTGAGCTCTTGGACTGTGGGAGGAAGCGAGAGTACCCGGAGAGAACCTGCAGACTCCACACAGAAAAAAAGGTGGAATTGAACTCAGGACCTTGCTGTGAGGCATCACTGCTAACCACCATGCCACCGTGCTGCCCCAGGTTTGTTGTTATAATAATGAAGTTATTACTACACATAATTTGTTATTGTGCAGAGCCCATTGTTACTGCAATAAGATTATTTGGATCATTGCAAAAAAAAAAATTCTTTCATTTTTTATGTGGTTTCCACAATCATAAGATGAATATGTTACTGTTTAGAAAAAAAAAAACATCATTATGCTGCTCCTCCCCTGTCTAGTGTGTATTGTTCTTTCAGAAATGGGAGTGGCAATTCTTGAAAAAAAAAAAAAGTAAAAGACATGGATCAGCTTTCCATGACTGCAGCTTTCCATGACTGCAGCTTTCCATGACTGCAGTTGAGCTCTTGGTGTCTGAGTGTTATCGTTGAAAGCATGGACACAGGCTTTGAAGAGATATGTGAGTATATATATATATATATATATGTGTGTGTGTGTGTGTGTGTGTGTATTTTATAACAGTGTTATCACATTATGCAGTGGATATGAATTCTTTTTATAATTGTAAAGATTTTATTTGAAATCTTTTTGTATTTCATTAACAGGCAAGGCGGTCCTTGTGTTTGCAGGTACGCCATCACATTAACCACGGCATAATTTTGATATGAAAATCTTTAATATAAACATTTTTATCCAGGAGCTGGTGGAGTTGTGATTCTGACTCCTGCCATTCTGACTTTACTGGGGTTCACTTCAGCTGGAATAGCAGCAGGCTCCATCGCTGCCAAACTGATGTCATATTTAGCAATCGCTAGTGGAGGTGGAGTTGCAGCAGGAGGTCTCGTAGCAATCTTGCAGTCCTGGGGTAAACCGGATAATTTGTTACATATTCTCTTTCTCTCTCCTCTCTAAATGTGTGTAAAAAAAATCCGCAACCAAACAAATAGACATGTTTTCTTATAGAGCAGGATTACTGCCAGATAAATTAGAAATTGTAATATTTTAGTCCACTTTGACTGTTGCTGTTTATCTAAATGTCAAAGATATAAAATGCTCTTCTTGGACACGTCTCTATAAATGGTATAAAAGGTTCATGAGTAAAATAATTTATGTACATCATAAATTATTTTATGAAGAATTAAAACTTTGCACATGTTGAACAAGTATAACAAACAGCTAATGGTGTCTAATGTGATTTCACTTTAGGTGCGTCAGGTCTGTCATGGGCTGCCACTTTAGTGTTTGGCAGTGTTGGAGCAGCAGTGGCTTGGGTGCTCTCAACCGTGTGTAATGTGACTGTGATATATGAAGATTCACATAGAGAATAAACACAAACTGACCTATAAATGTTTCCTGCTGTGACAAATCTCAATCGCCTGAATGAAACTTTATTCTTATGTGTGAATGTCGAACACTCAGATTAAAGGATGATTTGAGAATTAAATTACAAAAACATTTTAAAAAACATTTTGACTTGATTTGATTCTGGTAGTTGTTTGACATAACTGTGACGTCACACAACTGCAGTGACAACAGCAAAGGAATGTGAAGAAGCCTCGCCCATGAATAGTCCTCCTTTACATTCAGGAACCAGATGAATAAAGCATTAGGGTCTTTTCTTTCTTCAAAACAAGTTCTGTACATTTAATTTCTCACGGCAGGTTAGTTTAAATGACCTGTTTTTCTTTTGTTGTATGCACTGTTTGCTTAGGAGGAAATTTCTTCTTGCATTATTATGAATCAGCACAGTGCTGTGTGCTGCAAGCTGTGGTGCTCTAACTTCCACATCTGCAGACTTATATTAAACACAGTATGATTATTAAAAAAACAAGATTAAAAATCCCACTAAAGGTCACTTTACTCTGCTCTCCATAATGATTTCAAGTGTACTCAGGGGTTTTTAACCTGAAGTTGACTGATGTGCCACAGTTCAGCTAACATTAAAAAAAGCCTGGCGTTGTTTACTGAGGACAATTTTTTTTTAATTTTTTTTTTTGCCCGAGGATAATTACTGAGGATAATTGAGGATTTCATTTATTTCCTGTGAAGGCTGCATGTCACTTCAGTGACCTACAACAGAGATATGTGGCAGCATCTGTGTATAACAGATAGTTAAAGGCAATTTTTTTACATTTTCCTGCTGTTTGGAAATGACAGATGAGATCTGAGTACAAAGTCAAAGCAAGTAGAAACAAACGTGTTGTGTTCATCTTGACTACGGTTAAATAATATATAATACAATTAAAATAATGAGAAATAGAAAGGAAATAAAATGGGTGAGTATACAAGGCTTATCACAGCAGACACAAGAGCAGAAGTTGAGATGAATTATAAGAACAACCAACGTTTCAGGAGCCCTGGAGGGGAGATCCTACGAAATGGCAGCACTAGAAATTATGACATGACACAGTTTTACGTAAGCGTTATTTGACTGCATTTAATCCCAGTCATTTCCAGAGAGAGATTAAAGGTTGAGGACTGATTTATAACAAGTCCCCACACAAACATAGATAAAAGCGCCTCACTGATGAGCAAGAAGTGCAATAAATGATTGAGAAGTGATACATACTGTATGCACACAGACGTCAAATAATAAAAATAAAAATAAATATCTCAATTGCACTTTCAGCTTTATTATACTGCATTTAACCCTGATCATTTTCACCTAATCCAGAGTAATGTACTACAAGGATACTTGGAGCATGAGAAGCAAAATTTTGAAAATCCAATGAAGGAGAAATGGTAGAAACACATGTCAGCTTCTTCTCATATTTTAAACCTATCTATATGGTTATAGTTATGTTGGGTTTCTCTGATGTTTAATTATTCAAATCTCTGTTAGATTACATTAAAATAAACTGATATCAGATCAATTATCAAATTATCAAATCACTTTCCTACTTTGACCAGATTGTCATGTGTTGAGTCACTGCTCTTCTTCTCTTTCCTCTATTCGGGAACCATTCAAAGGATTCTGGGGAGGTTTTAGTAAAACGGCAGAAAAAGTTGCATAATAGAGGCCTGTACAAGAATTGTCCCATTCATACCTACCTGGTCACACATTGAGGGGGAGGCTGTGACGGCTACAGAGCTTTAAACACTGCACACCTGGGGTCTGGGGCTTGATGAAGCTGTGTTTGTGGTAGGGGGTAAGAAAGGCCCCACCTTGGAGAAGATCAGTACAGTGATTTCACTGTAGGTGCAGGAGGTCTGTCATGGGCTGCCACTGGATTATTTGGCAATGTTGGAAAAGCAGCAGGTTGGATGTTATGAATAGTCCTCCTTTACATTCAGGAACCAGATAAATAAAGGATTAGGGCCTTTTCTTTCTTACTTCAAAACAGGTTCTGTACATTGAATTTGTCAGGGCAGGTTAGTTTGAATGACCCGTTTGACCTTTTGTTATATGTTCTATTTGCTTAGGAGGCTGATTTTTATAGCAAGCAAGGTTTCCTTTTCTCAGTAACAAAACCTTATGTTCAGAGCTGAACAACTGAGGGCGACAGAGAGCAACACAAACTGTATCTGTATTTTTGTGTTTCGTTTATGAAGGGGTTACGTGTATAAATAAAGAAACCAGTATCTTTGTGGCTGAAGCTTCTGACAGGAAAGTTCTATATAGCATAAAATAAAATAAAGTGAAATAAAGTAAAACAAAAAATGCGTTGATTTCAATCATGAGAGATTTGCATGATTAAATGCAACGACATCATTACCCATAGTTTAAATGAGTTTAAATCAGTTTTTTAGCACACCATCTATTTATAACCAGATGGCAAGATATCACTTTCTTATCAGTATAATAATGCAGTGAGAAAATAAATCCAAATAATTTATGCTTACAAGTAGAATTTGTATCATGTGCGACACTCAGTGTGTCCGACTTCACTTCAAGCTTTGGTGATCGCTTTATTTGTGCCAGTTATAGAAACCAAATATGTCAGCTTTGGTACTCAATTACATAAAAATAATGATCCATGTCTTAGTATTTTCAGATAACATAAATAGAATAATAAAATATAAAAAAAATAATAAAAATAACCAGAACACAACTTTAAAATGCTTTTCATTATTAGGGCTTTATTTAAAGTTGCACAATTTGACCGTGTTCATGTGTTTTGTAATAAAACACCACAGCATTACCAGCAATCAAATTTCAGCCAAGCTTTACTGAAGCATGACGCTGATACTATTGCAACTGTTTCCAATTGGCAGCAGTAAATATGTCATTTATTACTATTTTTTTTCTTTCTGATTATCATAATTTCCTGGTCTCAGATGAGAGCAGCCACCAATCCTCCAACAGCCCCTCCAACAGTACCCACGGCTGCGGTGGCGACCC